TTGTAATGGCTTAGTGCAGTAAAGAACGAGAACAGGGGGTAGAGTATATTCTATAATATCCGTAATAATATGCACAAAGTTAAGGGTAGAAGGCTAACAACGATACCATATATATGTATATATATAAGTGTATAAATTCCTTACCATTTTCTACGAAAGAGATTTTTATGATGATTTAGTGGGCGCGTATAATTAAATGGTTGCACATGAATTTTTTACACTACGATCTGGTAAGAACGGGTGCACAAGATTGTTTTAGTTTTCGTATATTTTTTCCAAAATTTTTCAATTGTAGTGATTCCTTCGCTGTTATTCTCGCTGCATGCATATACACATACATACAGATATAAGCAAGCATATGTTTGTATATATATATATACATATATGTATGTATGTATGTATGCGAAATTGTTCAAAAACATGCTAATGAAAATTTTATGAAAATTTTTTATCATTTTACTACGAGGAAACTTACAAAGCTGATGGTGAATGGAAAAATTCCAAAATAATTCAACAACAAAAAAAGAAAAGAAAGGGCTGGTATCTGCTGCAGTTGCATTTAATCGTTCTTATCTTCTCTTCTCTTCTTTTTTTTTTATTTCGGTTAATAAGTAAAATGCACAAAAATGTAATAATAATAAGCAGGCTTTGCGCGCACGTTATATTGAGAGTTATAACGCACGGAGATCTGCTCTGCTTGTTTTGTTTTTTTACATTTTAATATTAAAATTATGCAAAAGCGATTTATAATTTAATATAAAAATCGGAGAAATATTCATTAGAGACTTTGTAAATCCTATATACAAAGATATTCGTTTTTCGTAGCTATATAAGTTATTTCTTTGTGCCTGGCTACGCATTTGCTTAGAACGCTTAAAAAGCTACTAAACAAGTTAGGCAAATATAATCAGATTTATGCTTTTCCGGTAGTAAAGAATTGCTAAAGGTGATTATTTTGAGGGCAAGGAAGCATAGAGCGGGCTTATCTAATCCACCCATAAAGTTGGATGCACTTTGATTGAGATATGGGCTGGAAAGACTACGACGCGATAGAACATCGTCTACATCATCAGTCACATGGCAGTTTAGTCTCCAAAAATTTAGTATTGCAGCATGCAATGATTAGCGGGGTTTATGAGAGCGGTACGCTTGCCCGCGTAAAATCTATCCGCTAACATTCGCCCAATACCCGTATGGATAGGAAACATCGGAAGCTGCACAAGCATATAAAAAACTTGTATTAAGATATTTCTACCGTCATTCTCTTGCTGATCGCTTAAAGACCTCTAATGAATATTATAACCAAATTATAGGTTACACATTATCAATGAGATCTGGGGAATAAAAACCAAATACTAAACTTTTGACAAGAGCTTAGGCGCATTTATTGACGAACAGAAAAAGAGCCCGGCTATATATCAACTTACGTAACACTTTCACAGATAGATTTTCGTGTTTTTAATCAGCTAACAGAGTGGCTTTCATTCACTAAACAAACACGAAAGGCTGACCCCTTGCTTCTAACATGTTGTTGTTGTTCAATTGTGCTACGTTGGCGAAGTCTTTTCGCACAAGCTCTGCGTTTCTATTTATTTCGTTAACACAATCTCTGACCTATATTTACGCACGCACAACGCACACAACACACACACAATATGATTGAATTTATTTACTTTACTATGTGTAAGGCATTGTCCTACGAAGCGGTAGTACTTTGCCCATAAGCATTTGCCAAAATTTGACTTCTCTGTGCGTAGAGTAGCAAATTTTTGCATAACGCAATTATTTTCACCGCTGAAGTTCACACTATATAGAGAAAGTGATGCGACTCAAGATCAATCAAGTGCAATAAACAGGAAAAGCGTTAACGCCGACGGTAAAGTCGAAAACCCCTGGGCTCGTATGCGAAATATCAACTGGGTGTAGCGTGTTACGAGTTGTTCTAAGCAACTATGTAACTTTCCTTAGGCAGGGAAATCACTCACAATTTTTATATCGCACGTCATTTCTGCCATAAGGCTATATGTAATATGTTTGTGAAGATGTATACAACACCCAGAAAGACGTTAAATAAACTTAATAAAACAATTTTAACTTTTCTAGCCGTCTGTCCGTTTTGTGATTTTTTGTTTAATCTGAATGTCTTGGTTTTTGAGATATTCTACTGAAAATGGTTCGGATCGGACTACAGTTTCGATCACTTCCTATATTTTAGACTTATTTCGGAAAGTCGTTAAAAGAATATCTGTATTAAGCAAAGTGATGTGGAATGTTTGATGTTGGGCCGGGGCCTACTAGAAAACAAGTGTTTTTCATTAGATTTATAGACACTTAGAAGCTTCTAAAATATGGAGGAAAATGTTCATTGTGTGAAAGACACTTTTTCTTTGAACTTTCGGGTACTTTCCCAAGCAATGGGGAAAGGCTGCCTGCCTCTGCTTGTCAGTTCCAAGCTCATGTCATACTCAATACTTTCTCTTATACCCTAACAAATCTCTTTAAAAGCAGTTTACGCCCATTTAGAAACATTTCTGAAAAAAAATTCTATAGCATAGATCCATAAGTCCACCTGGACTTATAGAGCAGCTAGTATAAGAGTTTGTGCCAAGAAATGAAAAGCTTGAGATGAATTTTATTATTTATGTTATTTATGTCTTCGATTACATACACAAAAATATATAATATATATAAAAATTTCCAACACGCAAAACACATCAAAACTGTAAATGTGGTTTACAAAACGGCTTTTTACATAACCCTTGCAACTTTCATTCTTCTTATGCTAACTTTTTTTTATAACGCGTTTAAAACAAAATTATTTAAAGAAACTCATTGCATTTTTTCTGAACATCAGTTACTAAAAAAAGATTGGTTACTAAAAAGGTGTCTTTCTTTGGGCCTTTACCGTAGTTTACCCTTTACTTAACGTTGAATTCTAAGTTAGTAGATGAGGTATTAATTAATATGAGATTATTTCAATTTATTAATTCGCCCTGAGTCAATCACTGCCCTATTCTAATTGGATCATATGATTCATGGTTTCTAAATGCTGATCAGGTATTTAACAAACAATTGCAAGCTTAAAGATATTAGAAACAAGTGCATATTGCGGTTAAGATGCTGTCTATTTCTTCTTTTCTTAACGCACTCCTACGTGAAAAGTCATGACCTAAGTTATTAAGCCTGTTGCCGCTATTGCTGGTCACAGCAGCTTGGGAGATGTATGTAGTGATATGAAAATGAAATTATACAAAAACATAGAATAGAATAAAACAAAACGCATAAACAAGTGCAAGGCATTGTAAAGATAAATCCAAAGCACGCACAAGTCGCCGCCTCACCCCAAAATAATTGACGGCAGAGTTATAGTTCTACTACAATTTCTTTTGCATATGAAGTCTCATATTGCTGCTTAATTCTTGCTTAAAGTCGCTTTTCCATAGAATTAGATTTACAAAGGGTAATTTATTGAAAAATTTTCGACTATGAGCTATTCTGGTATTAAATATCCTCTGTGATCCTCGGTACATATCCTCTTCATGCATTTTAAGTATTCTCTTGGTAAAGCTTTTAGCCACGTCGATCATTTTCTATTTACATTCTTATTGGGCGTTCAAACGCCATTTTTCTAATAATGCCGGAAGTAGACAATAATTTCGCACTTATGAAAATTGCATTTTATTCTTTTTATGTCCGCCCTTAAAATATACAACAATTAACAAATAATAATTTATTTGTATTGCCATAAAACTACGTTAAATGGTTTCCGTCTTTGCTAAGAGCTTTGTTCTGCCTTATTGCCATATCATACTAAAATTGTTTTCTTATAAGAAAAATCTAAAATAGCAAATACAATAATTTTAATGAAAGGTATTTTCCATTTCGTTCCATTCCATTATAGAAAATGTGCAAGCCATCATAAGCAAAATGTCTCCTGCTCAACAATGCTTAAGTTCAGAGTTAAAATAACATATTTTTCCAACTTAATCTTCACGACTAGTTGCTGATCGAAATAATGACCGGAAATTTTGCACGAAGGATCAAATAATTCGTCTACAATTCCAAAAGTTTCATACACTTTTGTTTCGGATTTCAGGCGCTCCTGGAAAATCGTACATTCTCATCTTTGCATTCTTTGAGCGGCTGCCCGTTGTGTTTACAACGTTGTGTCAATTTCTATAGAAATACATAAATTTTACAATGAAAATTAAATTGAATCGGCAAGAAATTATAAAAATTAGATATATGAATTGTGTAAATAGTAAATAATTTCTAACGGCTGATGTCAACCTCTTTGCGAATGCAAATCTAAACAAGCGCTCGCGTGAGCATATCTAACCCTAACGCAAATACCACCCCCCCAAACACTATGTATTTCCTGTGACGGCGAAAAAATTACGTACGTCTCCCGGTGACTTCGCCGACTTTAATCATAGATGCAATATATTTACTATTATTGACTAATCTAATATGTACAGATGTCTCATCAGTTCTTGCGTGATCTACAACTATTGAAAAATTGTAAGAAAGACGCTTATCGCATCTGAGCATTTTTGAAAAGAACTAGTAAAACTTAAGCGGTCCAATGAACTACTTGAAAGTGACTAATGAAACATCCTTATGTGTTTTTGTAGGCTTTGATTAAAATGGTAGCAAAAAAAAACAAGTAATATGCCTTTTTAGGTAAAAGCCGGAATCGCAAAGACAACCACAACACAAACCTGAAGAAAATATTTTAACCAATTTTATGAGATTGATTGTAATGCAATATTCAGCGATAATAAGAAACAAACGAGACATAATGTCAAGATGATATGCACAGGCGAGGTAGATCAAAGTAGAACGCGCACGTCTAAAACTAACCATAACACAATCAAATCAAATAAATTTAAAATAAAAACCATAACAAATGACGCATACAAATTTTTATTTTTGTATTTTTATTAAACTAAAAGATTTGAATTTGTAAGTTTATCGCACAGTATCCGACAACATTTTGAAACAAACAGTCGCGTTTTATCAAACAAAAAAACAAAAAAATCCAACAATGCCTAGGATAGCATTGATTAATTAAAAAACACAATATTTTCGTTTTCATACCAACAAGTGTTCTTATACGATCTCTTATTTTGCAAAAATAGATAAATGAAAACTAAATTCAAAAGTAACGTTAGACTGCAATTGTAATAAACTGTGCCAGTGACCGAAAAAAAGATTCTCCTTGTATTAAAAACGAAGTTATTGTGATTATAATTAGATTATGACCTTTATGCCTTAAAGGAGAGTTTTGTGATCTATATGATAAACGAAATGAATTTTTTCCCTTTCAATTGCTCGAGAGATATATAAATAAATGAAAAACCAGATGTTAATCGCCCACATAACAAGAGAAATGAATGATGAAAGTAGCGGTAGTATATTTGCTTAAAATCTAACTAAGGCAAGTGCAAAAAGAGAAATCGCAAGCAATCAAGGACAATTTTACAGAATTTCTCCACACTTACAAGCAATATCTCTTGATAAAGTGGATTTATTATGAATGAAAGAATCTCGTAAAATTGAGCATAAAATAAAATTAACAGAGAAAAATGAGTCAATCTACGATATCTTGCTTGCCAGTGCAAGCAAGAATGTCGAAAGCGAAAAAAGTATTGGACGAGGCGCGTGAAACCCAAAATCGTGAAATTGATTTAGTGGATAAGGGCATCAACTCCTTTGAGGAGTTGCCTGGTTTATGTAAGTGTTCAAAGAATTAAAATAAAAAACATTTATGCAAATACCTAAAACAATAAATACAAATTTTTCCGGCGGTAGAGCGACGTTCACCTACATACTTAAGCATTATAATGAGATCATTTCTGTGCAAAAACAGTTGTAAGAATGCTACACTTAATCACGCATCAAAAAACAGAATAATTAATGTAATATCGTGCAATCACAAATTAATAATGTAAAATTATGTTTTCCTTAAAATTGTTTATACAATTAATTATTATTATTTTAATATACTCACACTGTTATTTCACAAAGGCAAACAAAAAGAAGCATATAAATCACTAAAGAAGAGGAAAAGAGAAAAAAACTGAGTAAACATATGTTTGACTTAAACGCTAGAGTTGCCATCCTCAAATTGCAATTTAGGGTTATTATCGCTTAGTGAAACTTTTTTTAACATGTTTTTCTCTTTTTAGTCAATATGTCCAACATCACACGTCTCACATTAAGCCACAATAAAATCAGTTTGATAAATCCTGGAATTGCCAATCTTTTGAATTTAGAAATTCTCAATTTATCCAATAATCATTTACGTGAACTGCCCGTTTCTTTGTCGTCTATGCCCAAACTACGTATACTCAATGTATCTATTAATCGCTTAGATAGCTTGCCTCGAGGCTTTGGTGCTTTTCCGGTTCTAGAAGTACTCGATTTATCGTACAATAACCTTAACGAAAAGGTTCTACCCGGCAATTTCTTTATGATTGAAACTTTAAGAGCCCTATATTTGGGAGACAATGATTTCGAGTACATACCTAAAGGTTTGGGTAATCTTAAGAATTTACAAATTTTGGGTTTACGCGATAACGATCTGCTCGAGCTGCCTAGAGAAATTGGGGAGTTGACCCGTCTTAGAGAATTGCATATACAAAATAATCGCTTGCAAGTATTGCCTCCTGAAGTAGCCCAACTCGATTTATTGGGAAGTAAATCAGTAATGAAAATGGAAGAAAATCCGTGGGTGCAACCAATAGCTGAACAATATTTGTTAGGTATAAGTCATGTCATCGAATACATTAAGACGGAGACGTATAAAATGTAAGTATGTGTGAGTTTTCAAAAGATTTGCAAATTAAAAATTATTTCTTGTATTGTAGTATATATAACCGTCACATGCAAAGCGGCCGAAGTGGCCCTGCCCCACCTAAAGCTGATAAAAGTAAAAAAGCTTCACGCGTACGAGCCTAAAAATTTAATCTTTTTGCAGAATAACAACGTGACGTGCTTTAAAGTTCGCAGCAAAATACTAAGCATTTTTAATCCATATATTAATCTTTTGATGACGATTAACCATTAATAATTATTTTTTTTATTAATATTTAACAGTCTATAATAAATGGCAATGAATTCATTTTATATTTTGTAATCTAAATCTAAATATTGATTCATTCAATATGGAATCGTTTGTATAAATGACCTATCAAAATTTGTTAAAGCGGTTACAGGTTGAACAATGGAATTGAAAGATAACGACCTGCACCTATATAAACTGACTTCATTTGAAAAGGAATATAAGTAAGACGGTTTCTCACTATAAACCATTGATAATTCGCAACTTCCAGAAGCAATCTTCTTTGAAATTGGCAATAGCAGGACTACTCCTGATCAATATGATTTGTTGTTAACTAAACACTAACAACAAGCAAACATTCTTAGAAGAATACACTTATCTTCTCCCTCTCCCTATCACTCTCATTTTCTCTTTTGATTTTAATATATAAAACATCTATAACCAGCGTTTGCCATTAGATTGGGAAACCCTGCTTACGATATAAACGTACGATCTATACATTAGGCGAAGTGACTGACTGCCTGAAGTGACTGCATAGACTTGAACGGGTGACTGGAGTTGTTCATTTTTAAAAGTGATTTGCAAACAAAACAGTAATTATTCTTCAAAATTTAATAAATTATTTAGAAAGTTATGTCTCTGTAGTGTGTGTAACAAAGTCAACAGGAAATCTTGAAAATATGAATAATAAGAAAGCCTTATCTAAAAAGTAAGTCTTGATTTTACAGTGCAATGCTTTTACCTAATTTTTTGTTTATATTTTTTTGTTTGTTTCCGTTCTTTGAGGAACATCAAAAAGACAACCAATGCTCAGTTTGATGTTCTAGTACGCGAAATGGCGAAACGGCCCGACGCAGCACGCGGCTATGCCTTTGGTCATAAGCGGGACAAAGTTGATGCCGATTGGAGGGAAATAGTAGACCTGCTCAACGATTTAGGACCACCCGTAAGAAATTTATCCGAGTGGAAAAAGGTAAAATTGGAAAAGATTGTGTTTAAAAATATCGTATATGCCTGAAATAAGCTTTTTATAGGTATGGTCTGATCTACGTAAACGTTTACAAAACCGCTTAAATGGCGAGAGAACGGGTCGCACGAAAAAAAAACTTTTAGATTCCCATGAATTCGAATTCGTTAAGGACACCTTGACCTCCCAATCGTTATATTCGTTGGCTGTAGCTGCTGCGAATGAGTACAATGAAGACGATTGTTTTAAACACGCCACCAAACAGGAACATCATTCCACCACTGATTCGCAACCATTTGAAACGCACAGCCATTTAGAAGAAATGGAATTTCAACCTGCCACAGATACCGATTACGAAAAAGTGTTTTTATATCCCGAAACTGAAGATCCAAAATTGGAAGAGAAACAAGAAAAGCAAATGAAAACAACAAACTTAGAGAACAGTTTGCTCGCAGTTGAAAAGCATATGAAAGAACAGTGTAAATTATTTGAACAACTGACTAAAATAAATACATCTATAGCTAATGCAATCGAACGCCAAGTAACAGCCACGGAGAAGCAAAACGAAGTATTGGAGCGTCAAGCTAAAGCTATGGAAAGTCAAACAACCGTTCTAACTGCTCTCATGGAATTGTGGCGGGATAAATTAAAAAACAAAGAAACGGGAACGAGCAAAACAATGCTCTGGGACGCGTAGTGGTTTAAGTACCGTTTCTATTATTTTTTTTCTTTTTTGTAAAGTACCGTTCTTAATGAGTTCATTTAATGTTTTTAACGCCAAGTAAGCGGCGCCACAATATTATCATATTATTTTATAAATGAACAGTAGTGAATAATTAGAAATATATAATCCCGATCAAATCTATTTTTATAAAATTATGACGATACGTGTAGAAGCAATATTGTGCGCTTTAGGAGCCATCAAATTGATTGTATATAAAACATGTAATATATTAAACCTATGTATAAAACGTTTTCTAAGTGTTTCTAATTTATTAATCATATTAATGAAATCAATTACATTACATTGCATTGCATTTGTGGGATAAGTTTTCTAGTTGTAGTACACCTATCAATTCAAGCGACTTAATAAAGTGTCACGTAAACATGACTTGTTAGTTTCTCTGGTATGTTAGACGATATATTTTTTATTAGTTCCGTGATAGTAAAGTGAAGAATTCAAGCAACAAATCTTGATAGGTATAAACAATTGTTTGTATAAGCATACAAGGGGACAATGAGCGTACAAAACATCTTCAAAGCAGTTGATAAGTGTTGAAGTTAACCGGCATTACTGCATTTTTTTTATATTTTTGTTCTCGAAAAAAAATTTAAAACTATTACTCGAATATCCTAAAAGGCAAATGTGGATATTAAGCAACTTATACCGAAGATAGTACATACGATTTCACCACTTCGTTGAAGCTAACTTTTAATTACCGGATCGGGAAAAACGATACATCAAACACATTTTTGGAATGGGATATCCTTTAGTTAAGTTTATTTTGAAAAAAATTAAATTCATGTGTAGATATCTCTGCATTCATTTATCAAGGAGAACATGAAATAATTAACGTCCACCACATATTGAATCTAATAAAAAAGGAAAACAAAAACAAAAGAAAAAAATGGAGTTTTCAATACATTGATTACACTTAATAGCGCTTTTAAAAAGAATTTGTTCTTGCAGTTGTCACGTCACACAACGACCACTGGAATATCGCGTAAAGTATATCATATATGTAACGAAAGCAACTTTCTGAGCCGTTTTAAGTTGATGTATCCGCCCGTATCTCGTCTTTTGTTGAAGGTTTTACAAAAATTGAGATGCAAACCTATTGCATCATTATGAGCCCAAAAATTAAGGTGAAAACTTGTAACTTACAAATTATAACACTAGTATACAGAAGTTCAGAAAAAAAAACATGTTACGAACTTTTTTTAAAAATGGATACAATTGAAAGACGTGTTGAAGCAAAGACAGCTACATCTGAGCATGACGTAGTATTTGTACTCATCTATATGCAAGGAAATATTTATAATACACCAAGAAAACAAACTTCTCGCGATAGACGTCTAGTAATTTTGCTAACAGTAAATCCGTCACTTATGAATGGGAACAGAGTCTGTTTTATATTAGAACACTAAAAAACAAAAAACCGTTTTTTTTTTTGACTCAGTCGAAGTTAATTAAGTTTTGAATATTAGACAAAAGTGTGAATTCATTATGTTTTGCCATGTCAATGAAAATACTAGCCAAATAATTGATTCCACTCGCTACTATCGACAACTAATGCGAAGCACAGAATTGAGAACCAGAATTGATTGGCAAGAGAGATATTTTCTTCCTTCACAAAAATGCTAGATAGCACACATCTTTAATAATTCGGAAGATCTAATTCATTTAGCGTATAGATCGGTTCTTGTCGCATTCGACTACCATTTGCTTAGTACGCTGCAGTAGGGTTAGCTTAAAAGGTGGCTTGTGAAGATCACAGAAGATCTACAGTGATGGCATAAAAAAAAATTGCGTGTAAAAAAGTGCATTTGTCCTTATTGGTGAAGTATGCTATTTCAAAAACGGGTAAAGAAGGAATGCGTAAAAGAAGAGTTCGGTGTATATCCGCTAGGCCATTCAAGCTAAAAATTTGTCTTCCTATTTACAAAGATTCGCTACCAATATTCTTAGGAAGGCTTCATCATTTTTAGTATTTGTTTTTAAAACACCGAGAACAGAGAATGAGTTAAAGATAAATTGTGTCAAAGAGGTAAGCACAGCGTCTTCGGACTTCCTTTAATTCATTTCTGCTCTTATGTTTTAATGACCACAGGAAACATAATTTAATTTTATTGATTGCAGCCTGCACATCATAGACCAAATGAGTTCCATATTTCTTCAGTTGCAAGAAATATCGGACAGTAACGGTGGAGTTAAGATGTAACTTAATATGTTGTTCTTCGGAGACATTTTTTAAGTAAATAGAATTCGATATATAGGAACTTGCTACTGATGAATACGTAATATCCATTTTGTGATTACTTTTTTTGCACGATTTTTTAAGGAAATATTTAGAGTTTGTTCATATTACACTTTTTTTTTAAAGTGATGGAACATATCCCTCAATCTACCGTATATGTCGCATGTGTTTTTTTAAACAAACGAATGTATCTACCGTGTAAAAAAGAGTTAGGCGTATTTCCAATATTTTTAGAGAACTAAATAAGTAATATGTTGTCCATAATTTTAAATATTTGTTTCTCTTAGCCTCTCATATAGTTCGGTGCAAATCTCCGAAAGAATAACCAGCAAAGTAGACAAGATGTTTCTGGACTTTCTTTCTCTAGTATGGGTAGGGTGAAATTAGACTATTAATAAAATTTTTCATTTGAAAATTAACTTTTAATTTGTTTGCATAAAAAGAGCGATCACTGGAAGAGATTACGAATTTTCGCTTGAATAACCCGCACTTACTCGTTGGAATATAATTTTTCTTTTTTCCTTCTAATCTTATACTCACGGTATTTTGCTTCAAAAATATTATTTCCAAATTGTGACCATTTTGTAATTTTATTTTATAAAATAGTTTATTTATAGTTTTTCTTTAGATTTACTTCTTTTGTATTTTTGAATTTTTTTTTTTTTTTTTTTTTATATACTTATTATCAATTTTTGTTTGTCTTTGTTGCTGATTTTTGTTTTTGTCTTGTGTTATAAATGTACTCTTTTTTTTGTTTTGTTTTGTTTTCTTCAACTTTGTTGTTATGTTCACATATCAACCTAGCAATCAATCAATTAATTAATAATTATTTGTAATAATTTTATTTTACTTCGACACAATATAATCAAATTTACTTTTATTTACCTTTATTTGCTTTTATTTTACTGTTTTCTTTTTTTGTTTTTTTGTTTTTATACACTTAATAAAAATTAATAGGGTTGCTGTTATTATAGAGATAAAAATGATAAACAAAAAGTCATAGAAAATTAAATACACACACACATACATTTATTTTTTGCACTTAATACTATTTGTTGTTGTTTTTTCAATATTTATTATATACATGTTTTGTATTAGACTTGTAAAGCTGAGAAGGGAAGAATTTACGAATTTAAAATATATATATATATATATATATATATATATATATATATATATATATTTTGTTTTTTTTTTTCTTGAATTTATAAAAGGAAAAGGATTAGGAAAGCTTAGGTTTAGAATTTAAGGTGGTTTCAATATTATTTCATTTTTATTTTGTTTCTTAACTAGTTTAAAAAAATATATATATGAAAGTATTTTTATAAAAATTTTGTAAATTATATTAATTATAAAAATGAAACGCTTATTAAACCTAAAATGAGAATTTTATTATAATAATTTTTTAGAGTTAATTTCTCTAATTGCAAAAAAGAGAGTATAAGTGATGTCTTTTAACTTTTCGAAATGCTTTGAATGTACAAAAACTGCTTTCAAAAAGGTAGGCTGATGAATTTAAATAATTGTTAGTAAATTCAACACAGCCATTAAAAAAAGAATTCTTCTATTCAAGCTAAGAGGTTGAGCAGTTTACTACACAGTATTTTTAAGTTTTTATTTTATCAACAAAATTCTTTAATTATAATAATGATAAACTTAATAATAATAATAATAATAATAATAATAATGATTATTGAAGATTAAAGCTTTTTCTACACTTTTTAAATTTAATATGAAATATACAAAAATGAAAAAAAAACTTATAAAATGATTACAAAAGAATTGTGTAAATTAAATTTAAATAAAACAAGTGAGAAAGTTATATTCGGCGTGGACCGAATCTCGCATACCCATCACTAGATTTTTTCGCATACTACTCTCCAAGTTCTTTTATTTGATACCCATATCGCTAGTATTATTAAAAACAAAGTAACAGTGTTGTCTATTCTATTCATTTTAAAATGAACCCATTTTTAGGCAGATAATATGTCTTCATTTGAGGAGCGTACAAAACAGTTTTAAACATTCGGTCTTGTTTGCCTTATGATAAATGAACATGAAACCTCAAAGAAGTGAAAACAAACAGAATTTAATCACTTGTAACTTGGTGTGGGCATGACGGAAGTTTTCAATTCGTGAGAAGTAGAGTGTTTCGCAAAGTAAATGGAAAATTTCAGCCTTCTGACTTTTATAATTTCCGAGTAACGAACAGAAAAATCCAAAAATTTTTATTAAAAAACTAAACTGCGTTCAGTTTATGCCTCCTTCTGCGGCCTTCTGCCCTGGTCAATTTGTCCAATTTTCAATTCCAATGTGCCTGCAAAACCTTCTGATGTTTTTGTTAAATTTGAAGTCGATATCTTCATTTTTGCGACCAGGAGCCTGCCAGCAACACGCGCTACACAGACAAACAAACGGACCGACATAACTAAATTAACTCAAAATTTCACGCTGATCAAGGATATATATACTTTGCAGGATTTCTGAAGCTTTCTTTTGGGTGTTACATACATCATGGAAAAAACAAAATGAGTATACCCCTCATCTCATAGTGGTGGATATAAAAAAAAGATGTTACGTACGGTCTTAATCCACTGCAAGTTTGTAGCTTCCATAATTCAAAAAAAATTATTTCTTAAGCCTCCGTATAAGTAATTACTCAAATTAAACTGCATCCGGTCTTTTATTTTTTTTATAAGGACAAGCATAGTTAACTCAAGTGCTCACGCTAATTAATATTACATTATTAGAGCTATTTTTGCAACGCAGACCTACACGCATAGCTAAATTGATTGTCTGCGCTAATCAAGGATGGGTTATTAGGATTTATGTTTACAAGGCGGACGAACACACAAAGCTAAGTCGACTTCACGCTAATCGCACGTACATTTCGTTGGATCTCCGATTGTTATTTCAAAGTCTTTAATAGGCTTAGATATACCAACCATGATAGGCGTACGTTAATCTTTTTTTGCACGGTAGATACACTTCTTAGAAAACCGTGCAAAAAAAATCATGTAAAAAATACTTGAAACATAGGGTAAATTTTGAGGATGCGTGCCACAACTTTAAAAAATCGTGTAAAACCCAACAAAAAAAACCGTGGAAAACAAACCCAATTCATTTTTATTAAAAAAAAAAATTAAAATTGGTGTACAGTGAAAATTCAGGCGATAACCAAAACATATAAAAATTTAAGTTTAAATAGTGATTAAAAATTAATTTTGCAACTATTCATTATTACTTGATGACAAGCGTGCACGTCTATTACGGACTGGACCATCAACAAATCAACATCAACTTTTAGAATCTTATTGGAATTATCTATTGCACAAACTGAAATACTGAATAACGAAACGCAGTGTTCAAGTTGAAATATAACGAGATAAAGAAAAAACGGATCATAAAATTTGAGTATTCCAAGCAAGTTGTTGACATAGTCGTGATTAGTATTAAATAAAAAAAATTTTCGCAGTTCGTACTGGAACAAGAAATGCGTGTACAAAAGCCCATTTATTTTTATCGGTGAACCGTGTTATTTGAAAACAGGGCGAAAAAGAGTTTAGTGTATATCATTATGATCGTATGATGAAGCCACAAAATTCCCGTGAAGTAGTGATATAACGCATATTTTCGCTTCTTTGCGTTGAAGAGCGATAATTCAGTGTGAACTAGAGTGCGGATCTTTTCGCCCATATCCAACCAACCATATTTGCGAATCATGTTTATACATATCGTCTTGTATACCTGTTATCTTGGATGAACTACGGATGTTGTAATACACAAAAATTAAAAAAAAAATTGAATGTCGTAAGTTAGCTGACTTTGGGATCGTAAATTAAAAAAAACATATTTGACGATTTCTTATTATGAATTGTTGACGGATTTATTAAGCGATTTAGGGAACTTTGAGACTTGAAGTATTAACTAACTGCGTCGAAAATATAAAATGAAATAACTTGATAAAATGACAAACACACATTCGAAAATATGCTATTATAGCAAATTCACAATCATAATAATACAATTTTATGAAGACATCCGATAAGGACGGATGGACAGATCAGGACATATATATTCATCATTAAAACAAAATTTATTGTACTTTTTTCACCAAACACAGCTAATTGGTTAAGGGTGACACAAGAATAGTTCAACATAAAATCAGACAAAGCGTAATTGTCTCCTAATCATTATTTTGACAAGCAATATATATATTTTTAATTATTGATCATGAATATAGTAAATTTTCATTTTTAAAAGTAATTTAGTACTTTGAAAATTTTTGCATAAAAAGCATCGTCTTTTAAAAATATGATTAAAAAAAACTTATAATATAAAAATATAATATAAATAAAAACACAATCGGTTGATAAAATTTAAAAAAAAAAAACTTAGAAAATTTAAAAAAATTTTTAACACAATTTTTTTTTTTTAATATCGTTTGGAAAATTTTAAAATAACTAAAATAAAAAAATATTTAAAGTAAAAATAAAAGAAATAAATCTTTTATTAGGTCGATAAATCTCATCACAAATTTTCTTAAAATATATATTATTTTCAATTTGAGGGTCCATATTTTTTCCTTCTTTCTTTTTCATTTTAATGTAATCATATATTCATTTTTATTTTTGTATTTATTTATTTATTTATTTATTTTCTTTTTTTTGGTCTCTACACACTCAAGTAATAATTTTGATAATTTTTCAATTAAAACAAAAATCTTTATTACCTTCTCTACAAATTTTTAATATGTTTTCATTAATTAATTAATTTTTTACAATATTTTCATTTGATGCTTTGTATTTTTGTTGTAAATGTACTTTTTGATTTTGTTGTAAATTATTTTTCGTACTTTCTTGTTTCTAAATTTATAACAAATTTTATTCTTTTTTCCGGTTTAAATGAGAAAAATATTATTATTTCATGAAGAACTTTGCAATCAATTATCCATTTTTTTTTATTTTTTTTTTTTTTATAATAAACTCAAAAATTGATAATTTCAGGAAGAACTAAAAGAAGCAAACAATAGAAGGCATAACTTTGTTAAAGCCAGGTGTGGCGCGTATTGATTCCGTGTAGGGAATTCGCCACAAACGCAAATAAATATGTGACGCGTATTTCGAAAACATCTGAATGGTTAAACATGGATCGGTCTAGGCTCCTCTTTTCTCTTGTACTTGATATTATATAGCTTTTTGCTTCCTTTTTTCTTTTTGTTTACTTTTAAAGTCACCCCCCAAGCTGGTTTTTCTAATGTCATTAAATCTTCGTCTTATTAGAAGAAAAAAGATTTAACGGAACCCGGTTTTTTTTCCAAAATTACCATAATCGTCCTATAAAGAATAATTTACCGTGAATTGCACGCAGGACAAGCAAGACTTTTTGCCTGCTATCCGACTTCAAATCTGACCACAAATTTTCGTTGCGACTTTTTAGGGAATTTCTGTTACTGGGGTTTTTTAAGTGATTTTTGTTCTTTTGAATGCTTGCTCTTTGAAATGCTATTAACTTTATGTCATTTTATTAACTATTTGTCATTACCTCACAAGGTAATTAAATCTAATAGTAGAGAAAGTCTTAATTCGTCCTTAATACTTTGTTTACATTGAGAGATATTTGAATGATTTTGAGCGTTTCCGTAAGTTCACCTGAAATCAAGGCAAACAAAAGTCCACGCTTTCATCATATAAAAAATAAAGAATTGACCAAAATTTACGCAAGATCCGAATTAAATAGAAAAGAGAGTTTTTTTTTTAAAATTCTATTTTCTTTATTGAATCGTAATACATATAGAAGCGGGTGGGCTCTATCTGGTGTAGCAATTGGACTTCTCGGCTTTACTGGCACGTATGCAAAGTTTTATCGATTTTACGTAAATGGCGGAAAATTCAAATCTTGCGTAGATTTTGGGACACACTTTATTTACAAGTAAAAGCTTACCAAAATAGAAAAAACAGGGTTCACTCTATGTTGTTCTGATAAATTAGTAATCAATAATGCTGCACTACATTATTGATCTGCTTGCTCAACCAAAAAGAAAAGAAGTGAAAAGTGAATTTCCCATTGTAAACGAAGGGAAAGTAAGCAATATTACAACATCAAAACGGTGTACGTGCAGAGAATGTCATCTAAATTAAGTTATATAGGCATAGCCAGAAGCGTCAGCTGCTTATCACTTATGTGATCAATAATCTTTTCCATCTTTTACATTTTTTTAATTTTTCTTTAGTCACTATATGTTTATAGGCAGCATTAAATATCGAAATTAATAATTTTAAAGCAATATAAAGGCCAGTAAATTCAAATGAAGTTGCCAAATGGCCAAACTATTAAAATCGGCCCCTAAATACGCATCCAATAATATCGTCGGTGTGTATATAAAAATTAAATCAATGAAGACAGGAAAAAAACTTTCTTCACTTGATTCAATATTTTCTAAAAAATAATAGTAAAGAAATACGAACCAGTTTTCTACTTTGCTGTCATAGATTCTCAAACGCTCACCGTGAAGTCCATTACAGTTCCAATCAACTCCTCTTACTCACAATCTCAAAAAGATCCTACATCGATTTTTTGGATTTGTAAACATATACCGGGGTTTTCAAGTTGTAAGACCTTTCCTTGCTCAACTCAGAAGGTGGAGGAAGAAGCTTCTTCTCGGGGATGGTGTGAAATTTTTTTCTTTTATTATAATTATTTAAAACCTCGTGTTTGAATTAAAAGTGATGGAAGGATTTAAAGCTGACTCAATGAAATTTTCCTATAGAACTCGATATATCCATTATTCCAAAGTGCAAAAGAATATTTCGAAAATTATGAAAGAGAAATTACATAAAAATATCTTTTATATACATTTTTATAAATTATATGATATTTTGTGGTAAAAAAATATTAGGAAAGACTTTTAAATAAACGCCATCTTGTAAGAGCGAACACGAAAATTACCAAACATTTTAATAACACCTGAAATTTTAGTTAGCCCGGGGAAATAGGTATTCCGATGCAGATCTCTACTAATTGTACAGTTCAGGCCAATACGCGCTTTAAAATTTGTTTTCTTGTCACTAAGTAACTAAAGTTTTAGTTGTTCATCTCAATTTTTGCGTTCATGAAAGTTTCAAAGCTCGGCGACATAAAGCTAGATCGGCTAAACCACCTATCTAAATTACTTCTGCAAAAACTTGGTCTACGCTTTAATAGTTGACATGCTGGCAGTTAAAGAAAAAGGAAGGACTACTGACATGTGTTCTTCACTAACGAACCGCCAAAAGATTTTTTACAAATTTGAAATTGTTGCAACTAACTACCCAAATCCGTCCAAAAAGGCTTTGGTTTTCCTAAACTTATGTCTTCTTGGCAAGGGTCTAACACAATTGCCATTTGAATAAAACGGACGAGTTAGATCTCCTTCGAATCGCGCATATGTTCGGTTAGACGTGACAATGAAAGACGGTTGCGCGCGCACCTTTTTTTAACCTTCAGATAATGCTATCTAATATTTTTCAGATCTTTTATTAAGTGAAAACAAAAAAAACAAAAATAAAAAAAAAATTTAATAAAATAAATTTTCTAAATTATAATGTTTTGTTTTAATTTCATCATAATTTTTACTTATTAAAGTTTTAAAGAAATTTTCTCGTTTCTTTTCACTCACTTTCCACAAAATTGTTTTTCATTTCTTTTTTTTTTTTTTATGTGTTTGCTTTGTTTTCCTTGTCCATTTTAAAAATATATTTTATTTAAATGTAGAAAATTATTTTGTGTGATTTGATCTGTTGTCCTAAGAAATGTTTATTTTTTAAATTTGAATTAATTTAAAAAATAAAATATGATGCTATAGTTTTTACTAATAATAATTATTAGAATATCGTGGGTTAATTCGTTTTTATGTGTTGTGTTTGCTTGTTTGTTTGTTTGTTTGTTGTTACTGTTGCTGCCGTTCGACCTGTTCGCCTGCCTGATCATTTCAATGAGTGTGTGTATGAATGTGTTTTTGTGATTTTGTTATTAAAATATTATGATTAGCGTAAAAATAGCATTTACATATAACATGAGTTCGTTTGTTTTTTGTGTTGTTTCTCGTCTTACAATTGCCGTTTGAAGCCGCATCCGGCCATTTTGATACGAACTTGTCTGTCAAACTTTATCGTTTGTAGCACGTGCTGTTGCTTCATAGGCCCCACGACCTAATGCCGCATAAGCATCGGCATATAAATCAGGCTGATGTAACGACGGTGGCCGATTGTAATTTATTGGCTGCGGAACGACGGCTAGAAATACGAAACTGTACTTTACATATGCAAATATATTAGTTATTAAAAAGCCCATATTCCAAAAACATTATAACATAAATATGCCATTAGTATTCACAAGAAGAAAACAAAAAAAATCAAATGGATAGAAGGGACAAACATTAGAGTAATCTTAAAAATAAATAATAAAAAATGTATATAAACAATTACAAAACGCATACAAATAATTGAGAAATAATTGGAATGAGAAAGGAGAAGTGGAAGACAGAGCAAAGATTTATGCAACCGATATATGTATATCTATCGTTTGCATTGAGTGCTACAGTCGACATTTTTATACTCCAGACTATCTGTGATACAAGTAAATATTTAATTGGTGCGAAGATATATGGAACACCAGGAGGGAGTTGAGATAGAACCAACTATTTACTATTTAAAAACACTTTTGAATAGATTTAAATTTCTCACCCTGTCTTTCCGCCTTGCTTTCCTGTATTTAACCTGAAAGTTTTTGAGTTGCTTGAATGAAATTTGGGACACCAATATGTTTTGTCCCAAGGACGAACACTATTGAGAATAATTCGCATCGGACCACTTCTCATGCAAACTTTTTTTTGAAAAGTCCATATACTTGTATTTTAACTTTTAAACTGTATTAAGCGCAAGGTGTAAGTGGTGTAAGTAATGGTTGTCTGTGTCCCTATAGTGTTTCTACTTGTTATTAACACTTTTATACAAAGTCTAATACAAACGAACAATGATTTCGGCAGTTACTGTGCGATATTTGATCGTGAAATTGAAAACAAAAATTTTGGCAGTAATATGTCGTATATCGTACATACTTCCCAACCATTTTTTTTTTAGTTATATAGTTTTTTGGTAACTATAAGCCAAGCCGTTGCCCACTTTAACTAGTTTTTGTCCTGATGATGGCAATTTGAAGCTTTAAGCAAAAAACTCTACAACGACTTAAATTCAAATTTATTCTTCAAATTATTTTCAGGCGGGAGTTATGATTTTACCTGAAGACGGAAAGCAAAATTAATTCAGCTGTTTATTGTGAGCAAGAGTACAGATTTTTTTTTATCTATCTTATAATCTATATTTCTATGAGTAACAAATATTTGATCAGTTTTATATATATTCTCGGTATTGGCACATATAAACTATAATTAAATATATTTATTTATGTATCCTGCGTTAAATATATTTATTTATGTATCCTGAAGTTCGATTTATTTGAATTACACCTTTTAGAGAAAATTTAATTTCAAAGTCTACAATTTTAATGTTATAATTCTGGGGGAATTTTTGCAACAAATGGATCTATTTCTTCTATCGTACTCCATCGTATTCCATGTAAGATTTCACATGAATAAGTCCTTCGGAAAAATGTTTAATTTTTGATATATTATGATGAAAATTGTTCCTTGATAGCAATTTAGCAAAGAAATTAATGACAAGGAATTTCGACCATGTAGGTCTAACGAATATAAGGTTCATCATGAAAAGCAAGCCTGTATATAATAAGGCAGAAACTGAAATATACTTAAATTTTTAGGAAGTTTGCTGAATTTGGATCATGCCATGTGATGTTTTGGGTGTCTTCAAATAGGCGGGCTTTCATGAAAAGTATGCCTTTGCGCGAAATCACACTCAAAACTAGTGAATAACTGTACTAGGCAAAGTGATCTAGAATAACTAATGGTCGGCCTTGCCTGATCATAACGTTCTTACTAGATTTTTTTTGAGAATCTAATGTTTAAAGTATAGAGTCGTTTGCGTAACAGTTGCTTTTACTTCTGATCAATGACCAACTATGAGTAAGGTTTTCAAAAGAATCTTGCCCCTATTGTCAAGAAAATCTGTGCTTTGCTAGATTTCTGTCGCATACCTTTCCGTTACATGCAAACTAATGTAGGAAATTAGTATTAATAATAAATATAAATAATGGATTCTTCTAGATTGATGTAAAAAATGTGTTTAAAGTATAAATAAAAAACAAAATAAAAAATATATAACAAAAGTCAACAACAACGACAAAAAACATGCTACTTAATTTCAACCAAAATATTGTTATTTCTAACTAAAAACACAAGAACAACAACATAAGCATATAATCTGCTTGTTTTATACGATTTTCTAAATTTACATTTGTTTCGAAACAAAAGAAAAATGAACAGAAACAGAAACAGAAAAAAAAAAAATAATATGAATTAATTACCAATTAAGATCTTGTGTAGGAGATCAATACTGAATTCAATTTGTAAAAAGTGTATGTTTAATTTTGACTGACTGGCTCGCACGCTCAATAAACAATATTACGTCTCGTAGTCTTGCTTGACTTTTTATTATTGTGCGTTTGTTCTTTGGTTTGATCGCTTGAAATGTTCGTTTTAGATTTGGCAGTGCTTACGTTTGTGCGTGATGAACGGGACTTATTACGTACTTCTATTGCACACACGCACGCAAAGTGTACGCAAAGTAGACAACGTAAAAGCGAACAAAAAAACCGATATGTGTAGATAAGAATAAAGAGGAAGAAATTAAACAAAAAAAAAAAAATTAATTATAAAAAATGTAATCAAAACGAAATTCTATGGAGAAACGAAAAATCTTTTGAAGAGAATTTTTTAATGTCACACACCTTTCGGCGCGTAATATGCTTGTTGTGGCAGCTGTTGTTGTTGCGCTTGTTGTTGTGTTTGTGCAGTGGACGGCAGAGCGGGTAAAGGCATCTGAGCGCGTGACACAACACCAGCACCCAGTGCGCCGCTCGTCATACCCGGTACTGCTGTTAAAAGAGCAGTGCCACCCACGCTACCACCCACATTCACTGCATTACCACCACCACCACTATTATTAGGACCCACACCAGCTAAAATAACACCGTCAGCATACCCATGACCTGCTGATCGTGAATTGCTGGGCTGACGAGAGCTACTTGCTCGTGAATTACGACCAGCTCCACCAGATGATCGTCCGCCAGCCGCTGAACGACTCGCGTGATTGCTTGCACCAGTCCCCGCAGCACCCGTACGATGCGGTCGATCCCATTCGGGCGGATAATTACGATGCTGAGATCGTGCATCATGCACAGGCGGTGGTATACTACGCGGGCCAGCACCCCGACCATGAGGATGGCGCTATAAAAGGCATTTAACAAAATAAGAAATTTCGTCTTCTGTGCACTATTCATTAATATACCATTCTCCTTAATGTATTCATGGGCGCTCTTAGGGTTTCACTTATACGCCGAGCTCTACGTTTTTTAGGATTTGAACTGGGCGTATGCACAGCACAGCATTTAATGAAAGCACCCATCACGATAATGAAACCGATGCCCATCAATACAACAATATACCAATTCTCTGTAACCCATTGGGCTACGGTTAAAAGCGTTTCGCGATTCAATAGCAAATTCTTTAGACGCACTAAAGGACCATCGGCATCGACTGCACGACATTTCAGGAACACATCACAATAGCCTTGAAAATTATCACAAGGAGAACCGGGACGTAAACTGATACCACCCTCCGGCAAATCATATAAGTGAGCGAATTCGGATGTACTGCGGCAAGTATTTGTGTCATTTCCATTCTGGCAAGCTAGCTCGCATAAACGCCGCTTATCCACATGCGGGACAGCTTGCGAAGTTAGGAAACATTCAGACATATTCCACAGCAGACAAATAGAACCGGAACAATCGCCCTTAATACATAAAGCAGTGTCATTGTTACATTTTGTCTTATCATCGCGCGGTTTTGGATCTGGGCACTCAGCCGTTGTTCCATTGCAAATGCTTGACCACGAACATTCGGTTTCCTCTTTACATTTCTGCTGATAGTTGGCCGGGACAAATGTACACGAATTTGGCAAACAACAAGGCCCCTGCGAAGGGGAACATTGTGTTTTGGCACGTCGTGTACAGCCTCTGGCCGAACCGTTTAATGACAAATCGTATTCACTGATTAAGCGAGGATAACAGCAATTATCTTTGCATTCCTCCTCATTAAAACCGCAATCACATTCTTCACCTTGCTCAACAATTTTATTGCCACAAAACGCTCCTTCAGAGACTTTAAAGCAATCGCGTTTCATGTTTCCTACCAGCACATCGAGAACATGCGAAATATTACGTATAGAACACGACGAGAATTTCGAATTGTTAGGGCGATCACCGGAAGTAGCGCTTGCAAACATAATGTAATTGCCATTTAGTCCACCAGGACGACATTCTTGGGGATAGTCATGCTAATGGAAACAGAAAAACGTATTTAATGATAATTAAAGCAAAATTTATCGGTTATGAATATAACTTTGATATAACCAGTTGATATCAGAAGGTAGCAAAATTCATTTAACAAGGCAAGCGGGGGCAATAGCAATGACTCTTTGTTTACTTACCGGTGAACCAAAATTATGTCCAATTTCATGAGCCAACGTTAGTTGAGAGACTTTGGGCGGTACACGACTGTTATAGTTGACAAATGTAATGATACCGGTATTTAGGGAACGTTTTGTGCTTTGATATTGACCACCTACGGTCTCGGTGTAAGTCTTATATTTCTCACAAATGCCACCAGAAGCACCAGAAGCGCTGGCCACCCAAGCTAATCCTAAGGTGCCACCCGAAAAATCTCTAAATATTCAAACAATAAAATATGAGTTTATTGACTTTTCCCATTGACGCATTTCTATATCCGCAACATTACAAACCTATAAGTGAACACATAAGCTAGACAAAAGTCCGAATGATCCTCGAGGGAATGTAAATTAAGGAAATTGGATACATCCATATGTTCATTGCAAAAAGCATTATGCGGACCATTATAAGAACTGCGACAAGCGGAATCGTCATCAATTTTAATACGTTGCACCTAAGTAAAGAGTCGGATGTAAAGAACAAGAAATGGTAAATAAGAAGAAAACCGCACAAAAAACTCATTTAATTGTTCAATCATGCCTAGCGCATATGCAACTGTGTACAATACTTTATGTATACGTTATGTATGCATGCATATGAATTGATGATAAATGAAGGATATATGCGATGCTATTTCCGTCCTTTATATAACTGCGGTTATCATATGAATTAATTAAAATTCTTTATAAATACGCGTTCTCCCGCTGTTCCGCAAAACTTCTTCAGGCACTACTTGATGCTTTAAAACGTATATAACGGTAAGTACATGCCATGCTATGCCAATCGATTCCTTCTCTATCTCCGTTTCATACATTGTATCAACAACATTTTGAATACAATTGTACACGTACACAAATGCGTATGACACTAATAACAATAACAATTGTAACTGAAGTGATAGTCGTAGTGAAGCAGTTGTGCGTGCCCGCATCCGCTTAAATGTGCATGTTAGTGTTCCTACGGTACTTACCTCGAAACGTATATTTCGATGCTCGGTACGTCCGTCGAATTTTGTATTGCGGTAAATGTAATTAACGGCCGTAACGTGATGTGCTATTAACGAAGTGATTTCCTCGCGTGTCTTTATGTCCCGTTCGTATTTGTGACTGCGATCGTGCTATAACAATACAGCAACAAAATGGGATTTACATAATAACTACGCAGAAATAAATTGCATACATATATATATATATATATATATATATATGCATATGTGTGCATATGTATATATTTGGTTTTATTATTTATGTGATTTTATTCTTTTGTTAAAAAAAAGAAGAGGTGAAAAAGTAAAATAAAATAAACTTCAAATAAACAAAAGGCAAAAATCAATGCAGAATTTTGCTGCTCGTATGAGTGCGTGTTAACGTTTCAATCATAGTGATTGAGTAAAATAATTACAATAATTGCATCACTCAGGTTAACCACAGAAAGTAATTGAAAAAAAAAAAATATATATATATATATGTATATATGTATATATATATATATATGTGTGTAATAATAATAATAATAAAAATAATGATAGTAAAAAATCGACTGACTGAGACCTATTGACTAAATCGAAAAAAATTCTTTAAGTCTACAGTAAAGTTCTGGGAATGTCTGTTTAATCAGTAAGAAATTGCGATGAGTATCTCAGTCGTTTGAAGCTCAAAAAATCGTAAATGTATGCATGCCTAGATTTAATTATTATATTTTACTGACAATAATTAACGTTTACTCTTTTTTTTTTTTAATTTTTATTTTTTTTTTAATTTTTTTTTTTTTTGGTGTGTGTGTGTTATAATCGAATGTCCAATTATCTGTGCCGCATGTTTCCGTTAGCCATGACAGATTTTTATGATAGTAATTACCGATACATGTAATTTTCGCTTGAACACCAATGCTAATTGTCAAAATTGTCAAATTTTCGAAACAAGTTTACAATAATAACACATTTTTCAAATATTTGAAATTTTTGTGTCAAAAGAATTCATCGAAAATAATTTTATTGACAAATGCCATCCAAAAAACAACATCCGGTGTAATTTTGAAAAGCATACACTATTTGCCATTAACACTGCAACTACCGACGTTTTGTACACATGTCATAGACGTGAAATTGAAGATAGAAAGAAAGCTTGACCGGCTAAGAAGGCACTGTTCAAGAAAAATAGCTCTAATGTGCCTAACTACACGAACACCGCAAATGAGACACTAAGACAACTGTAAGTTTGGATCCTGTGAAGATATTTCGGAATACCTGGTACCTATATTTGTCAAATTCATCTGCAGGTTCAGTCCAAAAATTGTCAAAAATTGTTGTTGTTATTCGATCAGGGAGTATCTATGCCAAATTTCAGATTCCTGTCTTCTTCAAGCTAACAAAACTAATGCATCAAGATGATTTCCTTTGTAGAAATAGAACATATACCGACCATCGCCATCAGGAAAATTAGACCTCGTAAGGAAAAAAAGATTATATGAATTCAAAGGTATTTCGTCAAAAATGTATGTGCAGAATGGAATATGGTTTATAATCGTTTTTTGTTTTTTTTTTTTCAGATCGAAAATGACATATTCGGTAATTCTAGGGTTAAGACACTTTGCACACCCCGATTATGTTGGCTGCTTTCGATTTCAACCACCGCAACTTGTGGCATTCTGCCCTTTACTGGCATAGTTCGAAATTATTTTGGTAAGCAAAAGCTTTACCCGAAGTATCATATTACGAATCGAGGATCTAAGTCGAGTGCAGTTCTTTGAAAATAATGTAAGCATGGTTTAGAAAGTGTTTTCTGAAAGAAACTTTAACGAATGTTGTATCAATCTTGCAAATATTATTTTCGGACAACTTACTACTCATGACATAGTATCTCATATATTGAGCCTATTCGGATGCTTTGAATCAATCAAGTGATGAGGCTAAACCTTCGATTACTAACTCCGATTAACAGCCTTTTCGTAGCTAATCCCGTTCAGTAATTGAATTCTTATAATATTGTTTCAATTGAGATGTTTTTTCCCATAACCAACAACAAAACGGACAATGATCGCTGAGGTTATAGGGTTACTAAACATCAAAAAATTCTACCGACCACATCATCAGAAACTTTTTTTCGTGTTTTATTCTATTTTAAATAAATATTCCATTACTGCATTCAATTATTTGTTTTCACGTGTTTTTGGTTTTTTTTTTTTTTTTTTTTTTAATTTTAATGAATTATACGGTTTTAAGGGAAAAAGGCGTTTCTGTAGTTTGCTGATGATGTAGGTAACATGTAATATGCTCGCAGGATACACAACGCTTTCGCTGATTGAAAACGCTGTATGTGACATGGCCAACCATTAAATACCCTACAGCACCCTACAGTTATTCATAAAAAGACTCTTCAAAATAGGATATTATATGGAAAGTGGTCGAAAAATTGGTCCAATTAGAAACAGTTCGAGGAACGTCCGTCCTTGGGCCAACCATATTTCACCTGGACATCTCAAAATTTGCGACATATACATTGAACGCAAGAAAACAAGGGAGACGGACAAATAAGCTTAGAAGACTCATTTTCTAAGTCAATTACTATAATAAAAAAAATTGCTAAATAAAGAAAATTGTCTCTGTAAGGGGCTCTAATGAAACTTAGAGCTAAAGTGCTCCTATATCTTTCTATATAGCTGAATATCCCATATATTAAATTTTATTTTAAACTTTTAAATAATTTTTTTTCCCGGGGAAATTTTTTTTTTATTTTTTAAATATGAATATTCAGTTAGGGACTGTCACCTAATGGAATGGACGGAAAGAAGTGAGAAAAGAGAAAGATATAGAGGAGATGATAATTGCAACCTAGCCATTAAGCTTGTTCGAATATAATAAATTCAAAATTATTTTCTGAATCGATTTCAATTTTTCTTTTCGTCGATTTGTATAGAAAGTAGACCGAATCGCGTCACTTCCCAACTAATTCCCTATTTTGAGAAGCCGTTATTTGAAAAAAAATTTATCATTTTTATACCCAGAACCGAAGGAAGAGGGCTATGTTCCTTTTGTCAAAACTTTTGCATCACTTAGAAGTAGCTACAGAGACTTCATAAAGTGCATATATTCTTGATCAGCGTCAAATTCTTAAACATGTTCGTCTGTCTGTCTGTCCGAGTAATCTCTGTGATAAACAATGAAAATGTTTTATGGAATGAAGCTATCAGCTTCAAGTTCGGCAGGAACATTGGAACTTGTTGCCCGCAGCTTGGCAATAAAAATAAGACAAATAGATCAAAAAACTCGACCACAGTACAAGACAATCTGAGACAACCTTTGTTTTCAAAAATAATAACAACGAGTTGCGTTTTGTGCGGATGATCTTGTAGCATCTGCGGACTTCACGAGGGTACACGACTGATAACGGTGATGGGTATAAAAAATTCCGTCTCGGCCGGATGTAATTTTCTTACTTGTTATTATTTCTCTGCAAGAGTCGGTAGACGATGGTATATATTTCGACTTATTAAACGAATGGTGCTAGATTTGCATGAGGCAAAATAGTCTCTTTTGTCACCTATTTCATATAAACGTTCTTACAAGGAAAAAAAAAAAGAGGAAGAAGGTTACATCCTTCGGCGGCCGAGTCTCGCATATTCGTCGCTATGCTTTCCGTATTCTACTCTCTAAGTTCTTTTATTTGGTACCCATACCGCTGGTATTATTAAGAAAAACTTAGTCCACTAAGTCGCGGTGTCTACCATATTCATTTTACAATTAACACATTTTTAGGCAGATAATATGTCTTCATTTGAGGAATGTATAAAGTCGTTCTAAACATTTTGTCTTGTTTGCGTTATGATGAATCAGCACAAAACCTCGAAAAAGTAAAAAAAAAAAGAAAATTTAATTACTTTTAAGTTTGCGTGGGTATGGCTGATTTTTTCCATTTTTGCACTTAAAAGGTCAGAGTGTTTCGTAAAGTAAATGTGGAAAATTTCAGTCTTCTTTAACTTTAATAGTTTGCGAGTAACAAGCAAAAAACCACAAATGTTTCTCTTAAGAAACGGACTTGTGTTCAGTTTATGCCACACTTCGGCCTTCTGCTCTGACCAATTTGGCCCATTTTCAATACCAACCTGCGTTCAGAAACTTCCAATGTTTCGATCAAATTTGACGTCCATATCTTCATTTATGCGACCATGGGAGTGACAACAACTAACACTGTCGATCAAGTATATATATATTTTATAGGGTTTTTGAAGCTTCCTTTTGGGAGTTATGAAAAAAAAAAACAAAATGAACATCTCACAGTGGTGGGTATAAAAGAAAACCTAACACTCTAATTGTAAGTATTTTATGATAAAAGTTGTTTCCCAATATTGTGATATATATATATATATATATATATACTCATAAATTTTGAATTCAATACCTCCTTCAATTGACCTCCCGCTATATGTGGTACTTTACTGATTTCTATTTCGATGTTCCATTATTTAAACTTGGCTTTAAATTACTACTGAAACAACTTTCTTTTAAAACAAAATTTTCTTTAAATTTGAAAAAAAAAAAACGTTTATTATTTTTCTCTACCAAGGTTAACTGACTGATTGTGAAGACGGATTAAAGTGGCTGGCCTGCAAGCTCTTTTTAGAAATCTTCTTTCCATTTTGAATAGAAAGCTCGGCTAAACCCAGACATTAATTAGTAGATGAAAAGCAAAATAAACACAAAAGAAAACTACTACTTCTGGCATAATATTGAAGGCACTAAGAGAGGAAAAAAATATTTGCCAATATTTTTTGCAAAAAAAAAAAAAAAAAAAAAAAAATTTTTATAAAGACCCGTAAAAATTATAAGAGTAGAATTAAAGAAAGAAAAAAAAAATCAAAATCAAGTGGAAGACTTAGAAGAGAAAAACAAATATTCAACACGATGATGAGGCTATTGAGCGATGGAGATACTCTTCTAGTTATTTTTTTTTTTTTTTTTTTTCTTGCCGTAATAAAAGGATTCATGAAAACAAAAACAAACGATAACTAGGCGAACACAAATGCATAGATGGGCACAGAAAGAGATACACAATCGACGTATAAACATCGAGGAGGAAGTATGTGCCTGTGTAATTGCCAAAACGGAAAAGAGCGGATATCCAACAGGGATGAGTATATTTTTATTCGTTTCACAACGTGTTTGTAACATTTCGATTTGTTGGGGGTTTTTTTTTTTTTCATTTTTTTTCTGCTTTCTCATATTTGGTAAATTTGAAAGTGTACTTACGTCAGCGATGCCTTCACGTATATGACGCCAAATCAATGGGTCTGTTTGTATGTATAGCGAACAGGTATTTTTGTTATCTTCACGGCGTGGCGAAGAGCCGAGCAAACCGGAAGCGCGTTTCACGCGCTCATGCACATGTTCATGCCAGTCGTTATGGGTTGGCGAATATCGACGACCCGTTTCTGGATCATAAAACGCACCGACAAAATTCGCTTCTTTTGTATATTTTTGATAAGCATATTTAAAATCATCATTGGCGCCATACTTTTTCGGTGGATGCTGTTGAGTATGTAACTGCGGTTGTGTATATGAAAACGATGTCGATTTCAATTGTTTTTTCTTAGTGTTATTAGAGGGTAACGAGTAGAGGGCTTCAGCTAGTATCACTTCGCCGTCTTGAGATTTCATAACAACATTATCCGTATTGTGCTCAATCGATGGCGTACGTTTTTTGGGAATTTTTTTTACATCTTTTGACATCGGTTCTGGCAATTCTTCCACAGCCGAATTTTGTATATTCTCCATCCATTGGGAGACCTCGTCCGTAATGCCGCAACCCCCAACATGACCTAAAAGAGAACAGAGAAAAACATAAGTATGAGCAAATAAAAGAAAACTCAATTATTTAACGGCGGAAGCAAACTTATTGTTAAAACAAAAAAGAAAAAAAAAAAAAAACAGTAGTGGGACGCAAAACCGAGAATCATAAAGTGTATTAATTTAAAATTGTACATCTTCCATAAACGGTTGCTCGGGCGGATGCGTTATACCGCTTCACTGGCTTTTGAATTGTTCTTCTTCACCAGCATAGCAAAGCACCACAATGAAAAAAAAAAGAAGCAAACAAACAAAAAAAACCAAAAAAAAAAAAAAAGAAATGAGGAAAACTATCGAAAATGTACAAGTGTATGAACATCATCGTTTAACATGATGGTTGAGGTATGTGGCATAGTGGTTTTTATGCACAGCATAAGGTCATCTTGCGCATATCGTGTTGTGGTAACGCGAAAGAATTGTAATTAAAGTCCAAACAAGATTTATTTATATATAATAAATATTTTCGAATTATTCTTTGTTGATGCTGCTGTTATCATCCAACTTTATCTTCACTTCAACAGCTCGAGAACAATAAGCGTTCATTTTTAACTAAATTTATTACAAAACGAAAGTTAAAGCCTAAGAACATTATGGGAATAAGATATGGTATTTCTGTTTGCTGAAAACTTGGACGAATAAATTTTAGTATAAATTAAAAAAAAAGTGTAAAGTAATCGTCCTTTATAGCTTTCAGAAATTTTGATTATACTTAACGCAAATTCTTTGTTTAGCTCATTCTGAACCGATCGACAATTTTAGCTAAAATTTGCAAAGTGCTAGGCATTGGTAATGCTGGGTGGAGCTCGACAGTTGGCAATATTTTTGCCTCTGGAGCACCTACCTTCGCAGTACAAGCGCAATTCTGTATACAGTGCTGAATAAATGATGGGAAGTTTTGTTTTTGTTGTTTTAGAAATTAATGGAATCATATGGTTGGCGAAAGTGAACTCTACGTAGATATCCTACTTCAGTATGTTTTTGAAAAATTCTTCGTCCGTAATCTTTATGATAGAAATAGCGGATATTTACTTCCCGTTCAATCGACTGAAAAGTAATTAATAATTGAAAGAGTAAGCCAATAATGGCATATTGCGTTAGCTAGGTATCATTTTCGAATTCCTAATTGCTTTGATATATGTACCCACGCACAATACGAAACGCGAAAAATGCTCTCTCATATCAATCAAATCAGATGTATGTGTGCATGATTTTATTACGGACTAAATGTTGTCATGTTGTTTGTTTGTAAACAAGCAAAGTTCAAATTTGATCAGTGTTTTCCCTTTATTTTTTCACAATAAATATCGAACGACGAAAGCCATACGTAAATCACAACCAAATGGTTTTCAAGGTACGCCATTTAAGCGAGTGCTAGTTAAATAAAAAATGCATTATCAGTTCATAGATATTTTTAGTTTTCTATGTGCAATCGTACAATATATTACTTTGATGTGATACGTTTTCAGAAATGTCTCACACATCCAACCAAATTCGCCTTTTCAGTTGTTACCTGAATTTCATGTATAAATAAAATGAAAGAAAAAGATGGCGGAATGCTTTCAATTTACTTTTATAAGTTACTAATGAAGTGTTTTTTACATAGCTTAAAAAAAAAAAAAACAAAAAAAAAAAAAATCAATGATAGTAACGAAGTTAAAAGATTTATATATGTTTTCAATTTCTATGCATAGGGAAAACGAAGGGTACTTTCATTTTTATTACACCCTTAAATAGACATCAAAGACCTGAAGGTATTAACACACACATATACTTCAGATTTGAATTATGAATTAAAGCTTAACGTTATATTCCTTCCTAGTTCACGCCCATCAATTGGATTAGAAAAAAGTCAGCATCGGCACAAGAGAAATTATTAGTAGGGAAGTGAAGATCTAAAATATGAAGATATTTCTGTCAAAAGTAAACTGCAATTTTTGAGAAGTATTTCTCAGAAGTCTTTCGAAGTTCAAATCGAATCTGTCCCTCAAGGCAAGTGAGATTTCGATTCTAAACAAAAATAAAACTTTTCTACTAAAATAATTTGACATGCAACTGTAGAAAGATAAAAATTTGTTACTATACCGTACGGTACTATTTGATATTATCTGTTACGCAAGGGTACGCATCACGGGATTGCATATTCTAATAGTCATATCTACTTCTTATTTCGTTTTGCGCATTCATTTCAAAAGACATTGCAAAGCACTTATAAAATTTATTTATTTATTTATTTAATATCATTAGCTAAACTATATAGCCATAATAAATATAAAATATATAGTGCTATAAATGTAAATTGAAAAGATGAGGCAATAAAGCCTTATTGAGTTAAGAAAAATAGTAAATGTGATTAGCTAATGCAATTAAACTGGCAATGTGATGCATGGAAGAAATAGAAGCCTTCACGACTCTAATACCAATAACTAATGTATGCGATTACCCAAGCAACTGCAGATGAGTGCAGACGTATGTATAGATGCATAATTGGTAACGTAGAACTCAGCTTTGAAATTTGTATGAACATGAAACGTGCGTGTAAAAGTCGTCCAAATTTTTAGACCTTAGAAAAGCGAGATGGAGCATTTAAAGATGCTTGACTGAGTAAAAGTGAGGAACTATACATAACATGTGCCTTCTTTTCTCAAGCACCGATGAGTCAAGCGCCGATAAACAGATTCCCCTAAGGCGGAAGACATAATGATGTATTCTAGTGTAAATTCTAGTGTAAAAAAAAGGGGGAAACTGTTTTTGTACCGACTCTACATTAGTTACCTGAGAGATTTAGCCTGGAACGCAGGAAACTGCTGCATACTCTGGAATAGATTTTATAAGCGCACACAAAAACTTTCCGTTATGTAAAGTTCCCCGACCTTTTTTTTAAAACTCAGAGAGATTCGTGCTTTATTTATAATTGACTGAGGGTCATGAGGGTTAATTTTTTGATCGAGAGAAATAGCAAGATCAACATATGATACAATATCAACAATGTTATGACCATTAATTTAGAGGACGGTATATTTTCACAACTGAAAAGATTCCGTAACATTGGGTTGATTCCACGCTAGAATCGTCTTCATGCTTACACCAAGGGGCAATATATTGTATTAAGTTTCAATATAGTTGTTGTTGGAATAGTTGATTTATGATGATTATAATGCTGTGATCGCTTCTTCAACTACTGTTGATTTATCTATTTCTTTGCAACAGTATTGGTGACTTCTAGCTCGATTAAAAAACAGTTAATAAGACAGATGGAAATTGGAAAACAAAGCTAGTTAGTATTGTTGTTTTTTATATGAATATTGTAAGTAAAACTGAGAGCTCTAGCGCTCCAAATTTTAATGAATTGTGAACTTTATTTGCGGTCGCCTCTAAAAACAACACATAAATTTTGATTTAACCCTTTTTTTTAGAACGGAGTGAATGGTTCGAAAGTAGAGTATTAGCCAAGAAAAATTAACTTTTCGCGTAAAATTTTACTTGCATTTAAAATAGCGCAACTGAATGACTACAGAGATGCCAGAAATGAACAATAAAAAATTCCAGTTCAGTTTAAGTTGAATCTTTTAAAGTCTCACAGGTACATGCTACATCAGTTATATATTTATACATTGTTCGGCGAGCAGAATATAAACCATACATATGTAAGAGCACACATTTTCAATACACACACACTCCCTTAGCACTAGGACATACTTTGAAAATCCACTACCTAGAGCTGAAATCAATTTCTCGATCCCAGGGATCCCGTGGCTTTAATTAAGCTCCAGTTTATGGTCTATTTTACGCGTGTTTGCAGCCATTTTCAAACAACATCAGTCCCTATAACTTCAGTCTTAATTATTGTGGTCGCTAAACTTCCAAATATAATAAAAGCGTTGCCCCGACTTATGGTGGTAGGTATGAAAAGAATAATTACATATTTCGTTGGATTATGTTACAGCCTCACTTGCAGTTTCTTCAAACAACAAAATAAAGTTAACGGCAAACACCATTCTTCAACAATGATTTAAAAAAATCCAACAAACTGGCAAATTTGATTACAACTTAAATAAGAGAATTAACAGACCACCATGTCTTAGTAGCGTGTATAAAGATCAGCCTCCTTCTTTTTTATAGCACAATAAACTTTCAAAAAATCGTTCAAGTGTAACACAATACGACACCATTTGGGAATTGCTACTGACTGAAAAACGAAAGCTAAAGATTAGAAATACTTATACAGGTATGTGAACTTACTACACATGAAGTGTAAACGAAATGAAATACAAGCGAAAACAAGTCAGAAAACAATATCCGATATATGAGCGCCCGTCTCAGTTAAGTTAGTTCTTCGACTTTTCCTTGTCACAGACGAAACGTTCCTCATTCTTCATGTCGGAATTTCTATGGTTGGGATGATTATGTCCAGTTCACGAAAATGATTTTAAAATCAGCTTTAAAGCTTGATATGCTTCAAAATTTTTTTTTGATATAAATAGGACACAAGTACAAATTGAATTTCCGGATATATCGTTCAACTTTTCAGATTTCAAAATGAAATCTTGTCACGTCAGTGTTTTTAACAAAATAGATTGATAGGGAACTAAAATTCTCATCGGGCTTAAGGAACGACAGCAGACGTGATTAGAAAAGATGACTAAGAAAGCTATTCTTTCGAAGAGATGAAGACTGGGAGATTAAAAATCTCCCGCATAACAACCTAAGACCAAAAAAGATATCAATACATGGACGAAATCGATGAATGGATTTATTTCAAACTTTTGCGCCTGTATTACCGGCAACAAGACACAAGTTCCGAATTTAGATATTTCTAGATGAACCTGGGCTACATTTATCTAAAGAACAGTTACGTAAGGAAGTGCAGATGAAAGATGAAAAAAAGCATAATGGAAAATCTCTTTGCGTTGATGTGTCGCTCAAATTTCTAAACAAGATCTTTCCACTGGGCGTAGTAGTGCGTTTATTGCAA